CTGGTTTGCCTTTGGTGCGTGCATCCACGTATTGTTCGCTCTACGCGTCACTGCACATGTCGACAGCAGTGGCCGAGAGGTTTTAATCAACCGCCGCAAGCGCAAACGCGGAGAAGTCACGGTCCTACCGGATATTGGTCGTCCACGCACAAATGGTGCTGCACTCAGCTTCGACTGACCCAGTGCATGCAATCTGTCGAACTACGGCGATGTCTGATCATGTGCATATCTACTAGCATGCGTCTAATGCAATACGTGTGAGGGATCTGCAAATACATTTACATGTCTTACGGTTAGATCCAGCATTCATATACGTCGAGTAATGGTGGCTTTCAAAGATCATCTTACCGCGTTAGCACATGTACAATGCTGTAGACGCGAGGACTTCCATCTCCCTACTCTTCTTCGCCAGACCCACTTGATGTAGAAGAACCTCCACGCACGTCCACCGAGCCGGATGAACCCGTCAGCGAACCCCCACCGCTCACGATAACACTTCCTCCTGCCTCGGCCGCGCCGCTGGAACCGCCGGCCACGCTCACCAGGCCACTGGCACCCGTATCGCTAGAGCCTCTAACCACACGCACAGCGTTAGCTCCGCTCGCGCCCGCAACAGACGACCCGAGCGTCACGTCACCGCTCATGGCTGAGTCGTCGATGCCGCTGCCACTCAACACAGACACCGAGCCGCCCTGTACGACGCCAGCGCCACTACGCCGCCTGCGCTGTCTCCCGCAGAGCTCTCGCCCGCCAACCGAACGGCGCCCGCGACTAATTCTGTCGAAAGAGACGTCGGCAGCCCAGACGATCCGCCCAGCATCACGTCGCCCGCTACAGATTCAGCACAGGAGCCACCACGCACGTCGATTTTGCCGCCGTCGGTCACAGACGACCCCACCGACAAGCTGATGCTTCCTGCCGAGTCAGTGCTGTCCGAGCCAGTCGCAGCGCCGGACGAAATCCAGACGCCGCCCGACCCAGCTCCAGCCGGACTCGACACACGCACCACACCGCTGCTACTCGAGCCTTCCCCGCTACCCAACGCCAGTGACGCACCACTTCCCGACGCACTCGCGCCACCGGACATCGTTTCGTCGCCTCCCGTCGCACCAGCACCACCATCTACAGCAAGCGAGCCACCCACGTCGTCGGAGCTGCCACCGCCCAACACACGCACAGACCCACCAGCACCTGCAGCCTCGCCGCTAGACACAATCACCGACCCACTCAACTGCGCAAGCAACGCGCCAGAACCGATCGCAACAGAGCCAGACGACCCCGCATCGACCGACTCACTCGTTAACGATACAGCACCGCTGCTCGCGGAAGTCGCGCCCCCGTGAAAGCTTAACGTCACCGAGCCGCTCTCCGTCGTTACGCCGTCACCACTCAGTATCGTCATGCTGCCGCCAGTCAACGACGTCGAGACGCCACCCACCACAGACACCGCAGAGCCTTCTCCGAGCAAGGAAGCACCACCTGACACATCGATTGATCCAGCACTAGTGTCACCAGATCCGCTATCGATACGAACGGACCCGCTTGCTGGTGGAATGACTGATTCTAGAGTGCCTCAGAGTGGTGTGGACTACACCGGTCGTGCTGGCAAGTTGGCACCGGAGCCTACCCTATTGTGGGTGATGGGCCACTGTGTTGATCAGATTTGCGTTTGTGTTTTGTATATTTCCTCCTTCCTAGGATCAAATGTGCATAGAAATGAGTAAAAAGGGCATTGTTGATTGTAATACTAAAGTTTGTAAGGACCAAAACATCTGATGCCATATGTCAAGAACATAGCCTCGATTTTTTGGGCGGAACGAAAGACACGCACTTTTCGATTAAGTGTAGCATGTGCATTTGAGCAGATATTCAAGGATGATTATGACTAATTAAGAGAAGAAATCGTTATCTTTCCAACAAAAAAAAGCTCATATAAATTGGATAATTGGGTGAGAAGTTGTGAAGGGGCAATGTTTGGTGTTGGGTTTCATCTTGCCAGTACAATACGACAGAACGACGAGCTGGCGGCACAGGTGGCTCGAGTCAGACTGCACCACGGAAGAAGCAAAAGCCTCGGAATCGACTTACTGCATTTGAGCGTGCTTGTGCCCTACTTGGTACTGAGAAAGTTGAGCAGTAAAACTCAAATCGTTGTCGTTAAAATATTTCTCGATTCCTGCCGAGTATTTAACTTACTATCCGGATGAATCAGCATTCAGCGAGAATAAGGACGAGCCTAGTGACGCTAACAAAGGTTCAAGAAGTTCAGATGAAAAGTAGCTGTAGGAGTGCAAGAAAAGCGACCAATTGGACGACCTCGGAAGCAGCAAGCTCATACAGCAAAATTCACATCTATCCTGCGCTTTCTGACACCCCGTCCACAAAATACCAAGCAGCCTGCATATCGATGATTCGAATTCGGGCACTTCTAGCAGCACAGTGATGACTAATAACCACGCAGTCGACGCCAATAACAACAATTCAGTATCGGCAACCTCAGATATTGATGGCGATACCACATATTTTAGGATCAACATCATTTAGCTTAACTCGGACGTTGGATCGAAGCTGCAGTGCATTCAGAGCTGGAGCAAGGAAAGATAGCCGGTATTGCCTGATTACAGAAACTTAAACAATGCATATGTTTTATGACAGATTAGTTGAGTACCGGGTCATTGGTGTGACCCGGGTCACCGCCAACTGTTTCATAGGTGGTAGCCATTTCGGCCGAAAAATATCATAAAAACTCAATTCTGAGCCTCGATTTACAAAAACTTGATCTTTTCAACGCTACCAGCGATCCGTTTTCGTTCTATCTGAATGCTACTTCCAATACAGAGGTGCTTCTTAGAATAATGGCCGTATCACACAATTCCAGTAAGGAGGTCGTCCAGCAGTAGATCTTCAAGCGATGTCATGACTTCGTTTAACGTTACAGCGCTGACTGCTTGCAAGGCTTCATAAAAGTCGGTCATCTTTGACCTCCGAGATTGCACACTCTTAAAGTGCATTGGCACTCGACGGATACAGATTTCAATCTGCGTTCCAGGCTCTGTTACATCTGTCGACGGGAGAAGCCTACACCAGCCAGTCTCGTCCGCTTGCATGCCATTGAAAACACCCGCTCCTTCGGTGATGAACTTCCATGTGTGGATAATACAACTCTCGTCTTCAAATCGACGCGCAATGAATCTTTGAACTAGAGGAGCTGTTTCCCCGGATTGAAGCGTTTTTGACTCGACAAATTTCGCTGCAATCGTGTTCTCCGGATCCCCAACATCGTAGCTACGCTGGTAATTTGGTTTGTAAGAATGCTGAGTCTCGCCTACTCCCCACAGTGACTGCCCGGTTTCACGAAGGGTAAATGGCTGCACCATCTTGTTGAGCTGCTGGAAGTACTCCACTTGTTCATCGGAGTCTCTTGTATGAACCGAGTGGAGAGCAACTTCACTCTCAGGAACTGAGGACAGCCCACTGTTTCTAAACACCTCTTCCGCTCTGGTATAGTTATCCTCGAGTTTTCGGATGTACGCATCAACCAGCGCAGGCTCTGAAGATGCGAGACATAGCTTTTTGCGAGACTCTTCTTGACCAGCATATCGCTTTCCCAAGATGCCCCGAAGATTGTCGATATACGAGGACTGTAAGCTGATCGCGGCGTAAAGCTGCTGTTTATCTGCTTCAGCCTGGAAACGCTGCTGTTTTTCACGGCATGCGGTTGATTCCCAGTAGCAGTACGCTGGTGTTCTGCTCGACAGGAGCTCGGACTTTTGCTTCTCCATCTTTTCTCGCAGATCAGTCAGCGCTTCCGTTAGTTCCCTTTCTTGTAGCTTCAAACTCTGCCGAGTGTCTTTTTGCTGTATACGGTAGAAACGGCGTTTTTCAGATTCACTCATTCCTGGATTCTTGGGCTGATTCTTCCTGCTGCGGCCATTACTCTGAGAAACAACTGAGGTCATCATGGAAAGATGCGACTCATTCACATCGACCAGAACGTCCGTTTCGTGAACGTCATCGAGTTCGAAGGCGAAACTATCGAAGTCGTCGGACGATGACGTTGCTGCTGTCGTTGCCACACTCATGGCAATTTCCAAGTGAGTGATTAAGCTGACTATTCCGACCACGTAAGGCTGGTCAGGGTTTGCATATGTTTTCCGATGTAATCTGAGATTGCGTGAATCCAATTTGAGACAGTCTATTAGTAACGTTTCTAAGTGGTTAAGGGTAAAACAAAAATAGTTTTGGTACATGCTTTACCGGAACTTCTGAGGTGCTCACAAATCCTACTAAAATGCATGTTTACTTTAATGAAGTTAAGTAGGTAGTCGAATACTACGTAGTATGTAATAACGCGGAGTAGTATTCTGTCCTATGTGCGAGTTTGTAGCTGTAGTTCGTCGTTTGTTTTGTCAAGATGGCTGTAAATCGCCCCATATTTGGTCGTTAGCTTACCAGGACACCTGGTGGAGCCAGGTAGTTGAAATCGGCAGGCGCTCGAGACAGTACCAGCACAATTGACCGGCAATGGATACTTTAGACAACATGTTTCGTCCGTCCTTACGCTACCATCTCAGTGGGGTGGATATGAAGGGCGCCAAGGGAGTGATACATACTAATGTTTGAGGGAAGTTTAAAAAGGCTAATTAACTATGATATAAATGAAAATGAATAACTTCATTCGATATTTCAGACGCACAAACACAGTGACCTCAATAAAAATAAATTCATTGCTGGAGTCCTTTTGGTTGCCAAAACATTTCAAGCACGGAGTATTAGACAGCGTGTCCAAGTATTACCAATAAATCTTTCAAGAATTATTAAAATGCTAATACCTGTGTTTTGGCCACTTTGTTTACTCTGAGTTTGGCACGAAGTCCCATTTACTGATTGCTTCCGTCTCAAGTTGATTGACAAAAGAGGCTCAACCGATCTCAAGTCAATCGATGCAGCAGTAAGTTCCAGTTACACAGTTTTATTTGGATAATCTACTCTACTCCAGGCTAACACTCGAGTCCGGTCAAGACGTCGTCAAGCAGCAAGCTCTCCAATCTCTTCGACATCTTGTTCCTGTCGGCTTCAAGCGACTCGTGGAGCATGTTATGGAACAGCGCCACAGCTGGCTCGCGGTTGGAAGACACGTTGAAGCGCATGGGCACTTGTTGCACACACACTTCCAGTACCACTCCAGTGTCTGTTGGTCTCACACTCATCCACGCCGTCTCCTCTGCGTGTAGTCCATTGAAGTCTCCTTCGCCCTCTGAGGACATTTTCCAGACGAAAAGCAGCCGATTCGACTCCGTGTAGAAGCGCGAGATGAAGCGCTGTACCAGTGTACCAACGTTGAGCGATGTAAGGACACGTGACTTGATAAACACGTCGTCGTCAGGTGCCGACTCATAGGCGCCAAACGCAGGCTCGTCTTGCTCGTGTATCGCCGTCCAGATTGCCTGACAAATCTTGTCGAAACTATAGGGCAGCACCACTTTATTCACGTGCTGGAAATACGCCACGTCGCCGTCTCCTTTCCGTCTGTGGGTCGAGTTGACGGTCGTCTCGGGCATCGACGGTAAGCCACAAGCGGCCATGACACCGTCCACACGAGCGTACGAGCCTTCAAGCTGCTGCAAGTACGTCGTGTACAGTGCGCTCGTCATCGAGTGTAGTGTTGGGACATTGTTATAGCAGTTAAAACTATTGCCATCACCGAAGGGAACAGCGTTCCCATTCAGTCGATTGCCAGCAACCTGTCGAAGGCCTTTGAGATATGACGCTTGGTAGTTCACAGCGGCGATCAGGCGTCTCTGTTCGGCCTCGGACATCCGTCGTTGATCACGTTGTCGAACCGTTTCCGAGACCCATTCGGAATGCGTTAGCACGTCGGCGGACATTTGCAGCTCCTTACGCATGGCAGCTTGTTTATTCAGTCGTGCAAGCTCCTTGGACAGCTCATCAACGTGTTGCTGTAGCTCGTCTCGACTGTCTCGAAGACGCTGTCGATACCGTCGTTGTCGCGTCTTCTCTCTCTCGCGTTTGCGGCTGTGTTTGTCGGGCTTGCCGTAGTCCTCGCTGCCAGTGGATGGGCTTGGCGAGCCCGTATCCCCACTGAAAAGTGCCGCGGTGAGGGCGTCGGCATCTCCAGTCGAGAGTCTCGGTGTGAGGGAGCCGTTGAAATCCAGGAGGCCCACGATATCGTCGAACAAGACCTCGTCGGTCGTTATCAGCTCAGTCATCTGAGCGCGGCTGGAGCGGTTGTGTGGGGAGTGAGTGAGCCGACAGAGGCCTGAGTGAGTTGACCTGACCTGACGATTCCTGTCTGATCAGTGTCCTTGGCAAAGCCCTATTTGCGGTTCCCCAATCCTATCCGCCAGAAAACCAGGTGGTCACTTCCCGAACTTCATCATGATTCACAAACTCTATTTTTATTTATGAATAGAATAATACAGCGCTTGTACATGTAAGTGTCCCTGTCCTGGTTGTCTTATCGCCGGCTGTCTCAAACAAGGTCCTCTACACGGACATATGACGGCGTAATCTGCATGTACATGTACCGTACTCCGTACATACAAGCTGAATGGATTCCAGGGGGTGCAAAATTATCGCAGTGGTCCGCGATAATTTTGTAAGGCTTACAGACAGCTATTAGGTGTACAGAACATGTTTTATTAGTATTTAATATTATTACCTGTACTACCTCCATGACTACAGTGTAGTAATAACCTCAAGGGTTGCTTTTAAGACACCGGTATGAATACCAGTAGTAGACTGATTACCTTGGTATGCTGGCCGCGTGGGGTTGAACTTCCGCATTCTGCGCACGCAAGTGCATCCAGACCTGATCAGGTCACTGATGAATACCGTCAGCGCTCCATCGTCTGCTACGCTAGTGGCTTTCCTCGTCCACTGTACTTGACCACTGTAGCGTGTACAGTCAGTGGCTACTCATCAAACTTGATACAACTTACTAATTACGCAAAAACTTTGTCAACTTCTGTAACTTTCTGACTATTCTACCTTGAGTTGTTGTAAACTCAAGCGCTCCGTCAGCTCCGTCAGCTTGGAGCGTTCCAAGGAGTTACGATCATCGTCAAGGGAGAGCGACGCAATACCGCCAATAACATGCTGTTCGTTGTCTTGTCCGAAGTCTATCACCGTCTCCACAAACTGCGCAACTCTTGGGTCACACGATTGGACTGTGTTCAAACACACCGGCACCTGATTCATGTACATGTCCATGACGGTACCAGCATTACTCTGGCGAAGTCGAATCCAGCCCCTTGAACGCATCATCGCCCTCTATAAACGCTTTCACCATAATTATCACGCCGCCTTTTATAACATAGCGACGGAGGACAAGACGATGTACAATTGACGCGGAACTAGAAGCGCTAAGCTTTTTTATGAAGCGGAACTTGACAGCGTAGGAGCTGTCCGAGCTCGACGCCGCACACACTTGTCGATCCTGCAATTGATACCTTAGTTGCGTAAGTTTCCATACAGAGTGACAGAGATTGTCAGCGTCAAGTAAGAATACAGTTTTGCGTCGATATTGAAAATACTTGGCAGTGCCGTCGCTTGAGTTCACGACGGACTTGACCACGCCTTCGTGCATCGACTCCACGCCTTTTGCAGCCAAGACGCTCTCTACACTCGAGAAATTTGAGCCAATCTCTGTCAAGTACGCAGTGTAAAGCTCCACATCTTTGCGCTGCTCCAACATACGCATGTCTTGTAAATTGACTGCTGGCGCACGACTCAAGAGCGTGCGTATAGTGGATTTGAGTTCTTCGATGAGCACACTTTGTGAGTTAACAGTGGCTTGCAAACGTCGCCCCTCTTCTTCAGCAATCACTTTATTTTGTCGATTGCACAGAGCCAACGCTTTCCATGCGGAGCCGTGGCGATGGCACTGGCTTCTTTCTTGTTGTTCTTAGCTTGGGTTAGTTTTTCCAAGTGATCCGTTAGCTGTATCACCTCTTTCCGTAGAGATTCACGGTCGTTCTTGGCTCGCTGGCGATACATTAGACGCCTTCTAGTCTCCTTCGCCATCAAAGTGTCCGATATCTCCAAACGTATGCGTTTTCTAGTTGTGATCGTCTCTTTTGTGGGCGTCCTCGGGCTTAATGACGCCGCACTGCTCGTATCAGTCTCAGTCGTGGAAGTCCATAATTCGGAATGTAGCGAGTTGGTACAGAGCTGCATCGAGTAGCTCGACCCCCTCCTCGATGCCAGCGCCCAGAAAGTCCTCCAATCCAGCGAGGAGCGAAGCTACAGAGGTCTCTTGATCGCACATTCTCGCGTCTTCCGTTCTTGGAAGTTCACTGAGCTCTTCCCAGGCAAATCGCAGATAGCATCTGGTGCTTACAAAAGGCACCCTTTTTTTTTAGACTGGGATGAAACCATTCGTATTGTAGAGGTGCCCTCTACCACTATACCGTGTATTGTTGGTGGCTGTCACTCTGATTTATTCGTCGCAAACCCATGAACGTAACATCACAAGTAAAATTAATTCTAACTGGTAATTACTGCTATCACCTATTTATACTATACATGCTGCAGCGATTACGACGGCTAACTGTTCGTAAACCTTCTTTGCAGTTGATGACAATCTAACCGCATTCACAGAAATCCCCTGCAGTCCTCAGAACCGCAAGACAATGACGTCTCGACCAGAGTTCGACGCTTCATATCTTGATAATGTGGCGGTATTTGACTCTAACTGCTCCCCTCTGAAGACACCACACAAGAAAGCAAAGCTGGTCCGGACTTCAAAGCCCTTTAGTGCTACAACTAACCTAGCTGAACTAGATAATGAAATCCGACGATCAAGAGAGACCGGGCGACTGCGTTTGTATCGGCGTCGAGTCAGGAACGAGCGAGACAGTTTGCAACGCCAGGCGAAAGTGTTGACGGAGAAGTGGCTTCACTTACAGCAGACTCGACCGAGTAAACGCAGCTTTAGCACTGTGGATATTGAGATTTCGAACTCTCTGTGGAAAGCGATAGCTACTCAACAACTTCAAGAACGTATGGAGGCAGAGGCAGAGCAGAAGCTTCTTAAAGGCAGTATCAAAGCGCAAGATGCTTGTATCGAAGTGTTTCAAGAGCTGCTTCGCAGTCAACACGAGAATATAAGCGATACGTCAGTGTTAGACCCACGTAGTTAATGCGCAGATAATAATTTGAAAGCATATCGATGCCTTTAGCGGGGCCAATAAAAAAAGCGGTTTTAATAACGCTTATTAATCGACCGTTAGCAACAAAATCGAGGGATCTTTTTCCTTGTCAAACAGCGTTATCCCCTTGGGTCCTACCGTCTTACCCCGCACAAAGCGCCCAGGCGTACTTAGAAATATTATGATGTGGTTTAGAACAGTGTGTAACCTCGATTACAACGTAAAGTAGAATACAAGGACACACCGCGGGAAGGGTTCTATTAACCCTATCGTTACTAGAAAGATACACTAGGTATCTTTTTAGGCTGGCTTTACTGAAATCAAGACACCTTATTGTCATATTTCTTTCCTCCGCGCTAATCGTCGCCCATGTTTTGCCCAGTCGCAGCTTAGGAAGCGATGTTTTAGAAAGCAAATGTAACCACGCAGTTGTGCCGATGCCTTGTCCTATTGTGTCTCGTGGGGTACTGCAGAGAAACTGGCAACCAACGCCACTATCAAACCCGCGGCACATTCACAACACATTCTGTAGCACAATTATACTCGAAGAAAGATCTGATGTATACGCTACAGCCGCTTTCTCAAGGCACCCATCGTGTCACCATGATCGCTTTTATCACGCATCCCCGCCAGTAACAAGATAAGGAAAGCTGTCATCGCTGCGGTATCTTAGGAACATGGAAGCTCGTCGCTGTGGTAGTGGGTACTTAACAATGACGCAGAAATGCCGCCAGCATGTATAACTCTCGCTCCTCTCTCTCTTCACGCTGCAGGCGGCTATCGGCACGCCTACGACCACGAGTAGCACGGAAAGGTCCGCGATTTGGTAGAGCTACTGCTGTTTGCCAAACTGCATTTGGTGTGCGACTACAGGCTGCTGGGGGCCAGCATATTCTTCATGCTGCGCGTGTGTCGATAATTGCTGAGTTTGCTCAAGAAGAAAGTCCCACCAAGATGGAGAGCTCATGTGTTTTCGAAGAAGCCGCGACGAATACGCCGCATGGAGAAAGGAGAGCAGCGCTACAGAAGAACAGATGTCGCCCGTATAGAAAGAGAAGCTCAGAGCCTAAGGACTCGCTGTGCTGGGCAGTTCTCGCCCTTGGCGATTCAGAAATGAACTGTACTGACTACTGATGCGTCGATGTCGCTACCCATAACCGGATAATGAAGTTCATGGACCGTAAAACACAACCGAAGCTTGAGGTATGGATCCCTGGTTTTAGAAACCGGTTCTAGGTAGAATCGCATGACGACAGATAAAAAAATGCATTATTCGTCACATTTACTATTGACAGGTATCTTCGCTTGACGAAGCTCTTTCAAGAACGGGGCCTGTGCTTTATAGATTGATGAAGACCTTTTCAGGTTTCCATCGACTGTGTAGACTTGCTTTGGTAAGTAAAAGAAGTGATACTTCTGCCAGCATGTCCACGCTTTCTGTTGGCACAGGTGAGGCTTAGCAGTGTCAACCGGATATGTACGCTTACAGAGTGCCACTCGGTGTGTCTCGCAGTAATCCGTTTTTTGGGTGGAATATCTACCCTCGAACTTGCAAATGGTGCATTTGCGCTTCGCTCTGCTTCTGTCATTCAAGGCGAGCGATGCCTCTTTTGCAACGCAAATCAGTGGCATGGCTATAGAACTCTCGTTTTCCCTTTCAAACGGGGAAGCAGTGTCGTCCGTCGTAGAGTTTGCAGGGGTTATGGCGTACACCATGCCATCTGTACTATCAACGAACTTCTTCCAATCTCCATTGAACAGCTCTCGAACAAGCGAAACTACAAATGAGCGGTGTGTATCTCGCGCACCCGAACTTGTAGTATCATCATAATTTGGAGTGGAGCCGCTCCTGCCGCAGGCCAGGTTATGACATATATATGCGTTGCATCTCGCTATATCAAAAATAGCCATAGCCAACTTCTTGTGCCATTTTTGAAAAGAGTGGCCATCGGCGAGCAAGAAGCGACCGCGAAGCTGGTCGTGGCGGTCAACACCTTGCATAGCTGAGTTGTACTCTCCAATACAAGTAGGGACAGAAAACGCAACCTTCGTGTCCTTAATTCGACGATAGACAGTGGATGATGTAGATGAGTCCGCATTGGATACTATGTTGACAATGGATCCGTCGACCCAACTTGCAGCAACTATATGTTTTTCTAAACATACGCCTTGTTTCGCGAAGCCCCTGGGTTTTTCGTCTTTCCTTTTTATCACCGTAAAGCGGGATAAATGCTTGCTGGAAGAGCGGACAGTACCGCGTCCGTATAGACCGACCGATCGCAAGCTTTGTGCAGCAGCGACCTGTACTCGTTACTACAAGCCTTGTCCTTGAGCGAGATCCACAGACCACCTTCTCGTCGACTTGCTACCGCCGTCCATGTCGTAGAGCGCCAATTATAGGCTCTACTGGTCGTTGCTGTGGTGTTGGAAATCCCACGTGAACTCTAGCTACAGATGTAGTTAGGATGTTCCCACAACAATACGTCTACTAGGATAGTAAACGATCGTTCGGGTGGACCTGAAGACCCCAGTTCTGCCCTTGCACCGGGACAAACTGGACCTTGTAAACTACTTATATAGGCCAACCAGTAAAATAAGAACACGCTACTAGCACGAGCAAAGCTAGCAGGTGCTTTGAATCCTCGTGGTCCCAACAGCGGAAGGGTACCAGGCACGGGTAAGCCTTTTACGAGATCACCGAGTGTTCAACACTCGGCTGGAAGAAATAAAGGGGAGGCAATTAAAGCACTCCCAGTCGTGCAAATAGGCAACAATAAGCCGTCACGTAAAACCTCCCGATAATAATCGGCCAATACACAAAGTCTCTTGGCCTTGCCGGATGAACCCTCGCTACAGAGCTTCGAGTTCACCGACAGGCATAACACACTCAAACAAGCTTGACCTGACGCTTACCTTGAAGCCGGACGTCGCTCTGTGTGCTTGAGTGGAAATTCTGTTCTGTATTTAAGCTTACCCTTTCGGATCTATTCCTAATAAGAAGTCCTAATCAAGTATACAAATATCAAGTGAACAATGATCCGTTATGGATCTTCTTGCATGCCAAGCGTCGTCTGCACTGTCGCAGGAGCATCTTTAACGGTCCGCGCCCTGTCC